GTGAGCTAATTATCTGTTCTCTTCACCAAAGGTGTTTGCATCTATGGCCTGTAATTAAGGGTCAGGACTATTTAAGGATATTCTGTCTATAAAATATCTAAACAGGAACCCAAGTTGGCAGGCTGGTTGACTTACTGTATTTTTTTAGGTGCAAGTCTGTTACTAAGTAATATCCTTTTTCTATCCCTGCCTACCATTGTTCCATCAGTGTCTTTGCATAGACTCAGGACTACTAGGAATGGAAAGCATCTCTATTGTTAGCAGATATCTGAGTATTTACAATGTGACAACTCTTACCTACAAGATTTGTAGTCTAATGGTCTTATGTTTTGAATTAAGTGACTGAAAAATGAACATTAATACATTAGCTGGCTTTAAGAAACCTAGTGGCAATAGCTTATAATGGTCAACTCACACAGCTATTGGTTAGAGACGTTTGGTTTTCAACATTTGTGTACCATTTAGTAGTGTTTCTCTTTTTTTTTTTTGAGATGCAGTCCAACCCAGGCTGGAGTGCAGTGGCACAATCTTGGCTCATTGCAACCTCTGCCTCCTGGGTTCATGCAGTTCTCCTGCCTCAGCCTCCTGAGTAGTTTGGACTACAGGTGCATTCCAGCATGCCCAGCAAATGTTTTGTATTTGTAGTAGAGACAGGGTTTCACCATTTTAGCCAGGATGGTCTTACCTCGTGATCCGCCCACCTCCAGCCTCCCAAAGTGCTGGGATTATAGGTGTGAGCCACTGTGCCTGGCCCATTTAGTAGTATTTTCATGTGTCATTTAAAAGTGCTGGGTTTTGATTTATTTGCCCTATTTAACGAACTAATCATGTAGGTGAATGGGCTTAGCACACATTAGCAAACGTTTGTTCCCATTCCGTTTCTGAATCACAAAGGAGCACAGTAATCAAGGAGCCACACACTTCAGGTTTGTATCCATATTCTGTCTTCCAATCATGTTCACTTTTGTGGTTATATGATAATTCTAGCAGTACTAAATTTATATTAATCAATGAAATAGTAACACTTATGGGAGGGAACATCTTAAATACCTTCTGACATGAGGATGGCCTGAGGGAGAGCGGGGACTTCGACCTCTTTGGTTGACAGCCTGAACCATTAGCCGTCCAGTACAACTGATGCGGCCCTGTAGAAATACCAGGAAATAACTGATTTGCTACTTAAAACCATGAACCATTAAGCACTATTATGCCTACTGTCCTATTCTCTGTAAGACATTATTTCATAACAAATCAGTGTGCCAGGTTAGTAATGACTCTAACCCTTTTCAGAAAAACACTTTCCCTGTGAGTTAAGTGCCTCGGTAAAACTATTTTTACTCAGGTGACAAGGTTGTTTTTGGAACTCTTAAATAAGCTTTACTGTTTTATCTAGGATGGTTTGAAATGACAACCCTTGTTTCATTAATTGTAGCCTGCAAAGGGCTCCATAACACATGTTGTTAAATTGTCATCTGTAGCAGGAGGACACCAGTTTCATGTGAAGATTCCGTTTTCATGGGCAGCTATCTAATCACTTGTAGCCAATTCTAAAATCAAACCTAGACAATTTTAAAAGTTTGCCTCAGATCTTTTTAATAATATACTGATTTAATGTTAGTGGCATCCCTTCCCCAAACCATGTATTAAGTGAGCATGATAAAATGAGTGTTATGTAAAAAGTATGCGTGGGATGATAAGGAGAGCTTCATGATTAAATGAAACCATGTTCTTATGAAATGAACATATTTGAGATTTAAAAATCAGAAGGAGTTGAATAACTAAACAATGTAATAAAAACTATATCTTAAATTTGTCAATTGAAAGTTTGATGGAATGGTGGGGTCAGGGAGATAGCCAGAAGTAGGTTAATGGATACAAAATTACAGCACATAGGAAGAATAAGTTTTAGTGTTTCATAGCACTGTAGGATGACTATAACAACAATTTATCGTGTATTTTCGTATAGCTGGAAGAGTGGATTTTGGGTGTTTCTAACACGAATGATAAATGTCTGAGGTGACAGATATGCTAATTACCATGAATTGAGCATTACATGTTGTATACTTGCTTTGAAATGTCACACTATACCTCATAAATATGTATACCTGTGTCAATTAAAATAATAAAAGCAAAAAAAGAGAATGACAAATGCTGTCATATGTGAACAGATGAGTAATACTCAGGACGCCCAGATGACATGGATAAGCCACACATCGTTACTTTGGTTTGGGTTTCAGCTCCTTCTCTTAATTTTTTTTTTTTTTCACCATTACCAGCAGAGTAGCAAAATAGATGATTTTTCTTCTCCACTCGCTCAGGAGAATGAGAAGACATGCTTCTAAATTCTGATGACTGCCAAAGGTAACAGCAAGAGAAGAAAAATGAGAAGCAGATGTACCAGCAATGATTAGACTTAATTCTAGCTCAGAGTTGATGAGAAGCCCTCATGACCTTACACTGAAAATAAAATTCTTCCATTGGTTCTCATTTTCATTGCAAGCTGCCTATAGAGACAGGCCACAGAAGCTGGAGTGTTCTGTGTTTTGAAGAACTGCCTTCCTGCTGCAGGTAGACTGGAGTGGGGATCTGGGCCACTAGTGAGGGCACTAGTGGAGGGAACGCAGAGAAAAACACCCATAGCAGGATTCAGTGAAGGGCAGTACTCTAACTGGTGGGGCTCTGCAGGTCTCCTGAATCGTGAACTTCTTTAGGACTGGCACCTCCCAGAAAAGGCAAAGACACACAGGAATGTCATACACACAGGAGAAGAATGAGGCACGACCAAAGAGAGGTCATCACAAAACAGAAATGTCATACAGACAGGAGAAGAGTGAGCAATGATCAAAGACAGGTCATCACAAAGAAACAAACCTAACTAGTTTTTTACCACTACATATGTGACTCCCTCTGGCATTCAGAGTATTTGCTATTGAGGCTGTGGTTAAAACACCATGTTTCCTGAAAATTTCCAAGGAGACATGAAGACTAACCTTATGAAGGAGAATTATTTCTAACTCAGATTAACTGTATCTGAAGCACAGGCCACTTGATACAGATTCTCTCCTGCTAAACTCTTGGCAGACATTTGGGATTCCCTAAACTAGCTTGAAATCTAAAAATTTCATCCAACTTCTGGTCTGTATGTGATATGGAAAATCTAGATATAACTTGCTCAGAAGACCCCCATCATAAACTACCCAACTGTTGCATCATACAAGATAACAAATGTACACATAAAATTAATGATTCTTTTGGGAGGTTGAGGACAACGAAGTATGTGTACTGTTTGACACAAATAGCTTCAATTGTACTGATATAGAATGTGGCTTCCTTATCTGCTTTCTGGCTTCTATGATGAAATGCTCATAATATCCTTCCTTGTGATAGGAAGCCCAGAGGATCTACAAGGTAAGTTAAAATGAACTAGTCATTTACGTGATTAGGAAAAGATATACTGTAAGTTAAATTCAGACCTAACCTTGAATTTGGGCAACAGTCCAACAAACCCCCCCTTTTAACTTGGATTTGAGTTTTGACTTTTCTTAAAACTTTGAGCAAATCACTGAATTTGTTCAAGCCTTTGTTTCTTCTTCTGTACAAATAGGGATGCTATGTACATCTCTTACAAGGATGTTGTAAGGCTTAAATGGTGCAACCTAAATGCTCTTATAAATGTCAAGTGCTATGTGATATCATAAATTATCATGATTAAATTACTCATAGCTGGTCCTGTGTTACCATGGGTCTGAGACATTATGCATGGATCCCCATCAAGATGGTTTTTAGGAGCCCCAGTGGCTTGGTGGATGCCAGTAAGAATTTCCATGTGAATATACTTTACTTGAGGTAAACTCTTACCTCCTTTGACAGTTCCTTCATATTTCACCAGTATCTCCCCTGCCACTTAGTGCCTTTCCTCTTGGGATGGGCCTCAAATACCTCAGTGTGGCACTCAGGAGCTCTGCAATCAGTCTAAGTTTGTAAACCAGTCCTGCTGTCCCTTACAGGCAAGTGACTTTAGGCAGGTAACTTAATCTAAGATTCCTTCTCTAAAATCGGACCATATAGTTAACACCTAGTGGGTTCTCATGAAGATTAAAGGCATTCATATTTGTAAAGCACCTGCCAGCATTGTGTTTGGATGAAGCCAGTGCTCAAAATGTGAAATTATTATAGCACTCAATATGGATATAGTTCTAATAACCAGTTTTGAGGCATCCTTTAGAATTGTTTATGTAATGGAATTTTTTTGGGTATTATAAGGTAATTTTCTCCAAAGGAAAAACAAAATACCTTCGGCATAGGAGGCAGACTGTGGAAGTAGATGAACCTTTTTAACTTCTGCTGGTGCTTGAAAGGTGTTAAGCACAGTCATATTCAAATGTGCTTGTTAGTGTGGTGGCTGCATTTGACGTGGAGGAGGGAATATGCGTTATTCAACTCTAAACAGATTCTTGATATGCTCGACCTGCCTCTTCCTCCCCTCTCCAAAAAAAAGGAGGGGGGGAGAGGAACAGGTGGGCATGCTACTCTGGAAGGTCACACATTTCTACACTGTTTTCAAGGTTTTCGCTGCTTCTGCTTAGAACGCTATATACAAATATTGCCACAGAATATTTCTTTAACTTCCCAAATTTGAGAAAAAGGAGTAGTCACCATTTGTCATCTTTCTATTCTGATGTCAACCTTCACTCTGAGCATGAAAGGGGGAAGTGTGGTCTTCAGGAGGCGGAATTCTGTTTGATTTATGTAGTGTTATTGGCTAAATATATTACTAACTAATACATAACCAGGAGCATTTAGAAAGCATCCAAACTAAGAAGCTGTATAATTCTGTCATTTTTATTTGGGGAAAAAACCTCAGAGTTCAGTGAAGCATTTTTGAAAGGATGCCTTCAGTGTACATAATAGAAAGTTCAGGTTTTTAAGTCTGAACATACTATTTTTGAGAGAGATCATACAGAATTAGCAACAAGTGATTTTTTTTTCTTTCGAGACAGTGTTTCACTCTTGTTACCCAGGCTGGAGTGCAGTGGTGCGATCTCGGCTCACCGCAATATCCACCTCTGGAGTTCAAGTGCTGCCTCAGTCTCCTGAGTAGCTGAGATTACAGGTATGTGTCACCACGCCCAGCTAATTTTGTATTTTTAGTAGAGACAGGGTTTCTCCATGTTGGTCAGGCTTGTCTCGAACTCCCAACCTCAGGTGATCCATCCACCTCAGCCTCCCAAAGTGCTGGGATTACAGGCGTGAGCCACCGTGCCCAGCTAATAAGTGATTTTAATAATAATATGCCTATTAACCCTGGTAATCATAGTAGGCTCTGATGTACATTAATGCTGTTGCATTTGCTTTTATTAATTTTCTCATTTCCATCTGCTTTACTATTAACATAAGAATAATGGAAGGGAATGTTTAAAGTGAAGCTTGAAATGAGCTAGGAAACCTTATAATGCTAAAAGGAAACATAAGCAACAGACTAACATTTATATTTAACTCAGCTGTGTGCTCCTTTTCTATTCCAAACAAATCCACAGAGTTTAAAGCTTATGTTACAAATAAGTCTGAATTCTTAAAGTGATTCTGTATTAAACATCCAGCTTGTAAAGATTATTTCATACCTTGTGCAAGGCCAATTATTTATATAATATAGAAATAACATTTATATTTCACAGTTTATGAAATTTAACTAGTGGCACACAGGTCTTTATAAAAGCTTGCCACTTGTATACATAATGCAGTTTGAGGAAACATCAAACTGCAAAACAGCCATTCCAGAATCCAAGTGCAATACAAAGTAACTTAGCAACACAACACAACCAAGTCAGATATTCCCGTTTAGATTTAGCTGTTCTTAAAGATAGGATTAGTGTCTAAAGTAAACTATTTGCGATCCTCATTTTGGCATTCTGCTTGGTGTAACTGCACAATATCTCATTATTTTGCTAAACTATGTGATTGCTTTGGTCTCTTATGAATTGCTTGAGCTGCACACATTGAGTATGATAAACAGCCCAGTATATGTTTAGAGCTGCCTGTTCTATCCCAAGTAGAATTTGGATGCAGTAAATAACAGCGAATGTTTTTCTTATTCCCAAAAGATTAACCCAGGTGGAAAAATACCATATTCTATAAAATATTCTGAACTTTAATATTTTCCTCCCTCCTTGGTTCTCACCCTTCTCTTGGCTGCTTTCTGTACTTATTTTCCACTGCTCAGGAGCGCTCTGCCGTCTGTGTTTCATTACTGAACTATTTTTTCCACTCTAGTCTTCCTCTTGTCCTTGGTCATTTCACATCATCTGGGCTACATTGTACGAGAAAACATACGTGTATTCTCCCCTTTCAAACCCAATTACTTTTTTTCCCTAAGCCCAAATACTTTTAAAATTTCAAAATTTAAGGTAACTAGAGGGCATTAAGGAAGTAAGGCATCAATGACAGTTTTCTGTCAACTACACTTTATGCTTTTGGGATTGCTGTATGTTGAAAGATTGAGTTATTTTGAATTTTTTTCCACTGCCTTTTATGACATGGCTGTTGCAAGTCATGCTTTGATTCATAAGTTATAAGAACACAATGTTTTAATATATGGTAATCGATGTTGTAAAGTTGAGAGTCTAACAGTGTTAAACATTTCCAGAATGGCATCCCTACAGCAACAAATGGTAACTGATGCCAGGAGTTAGATAGAAAAATGATCTGTCACTGGTCATGGTTTAAATGCCACTTTGTTTTTCTAATGGGTAGTAAAGTTCACTCCAGTTTTTAAGTGATGACTCACAAAACTTGTATCTGCCATATTTGAACATACCTGTTACTGAAGACAGAAAAGACAGAAAAGAAGGGTTTTACTGTTGGAATTAAAATCAATCAGGCAACATGCTCAGAAACTTGGGACAAATACTACTACTGCTAAGTGGCATAAATACAGAAATTCTCTCACAGCAATTTCAATGGGATATACACATCTACACACTGAGGCCTAGACTCAGATTCACTTCATGAGTTTCCCTTCCTTTTGCCTGTCTTGGGTTATTTAGGTAAAGAAGGCTCTTAGCTCTGCCCTTAATTAAGATGTTGGGAGTGCCAACTGATCTTTGGAGTGGGTTGGAATTCTATAACAGGTAATGTCAGGAACTGATCTGGTTACTGTGATGCCTGGGGTTCCTGGAATGTTTTTTGTTGTTGTTCCTTTTGACAGACGCAGAGTAGTCATTTTACCCTTGGCTTAAATCACAGGTGGGTTAGGATATTCTGTTAGGAGGACTGGTCTGCTCCACTTCTCAATTCTGTCTTCTCTCCAAAGGGTAGAGCAAAGAACCAGAGAGGGTTAACCATGGGGCTCAGCAGTGGAATTACTGGAGTGAGGGCAGTGACCACTCTCTTTTGGTCCTTCTCTTGGCCCTGAGGGTGCTGAGAGCAGAAAGCAGCTTCCCAGCTTCATGTGTGGCTGATGTCAGCTGTGCTATGGGTGTGGCCATCCTCTGGCTCACAGCTCCTCCACCTGAGCCCACAGCTGTGGCAGTTGTGGCACAGCCACATCTGCTGCCTAAGTCCTTTCCCATGGGGGTGATGAAACAGAAAGGCGAGGAGGTCAGAAGACCACACACCAACAACATAGTGGGTAGAAATTCCATCCCAAACCGACTTGCTTCCTTTCTGACAGTACTGTGGGAACGGAACTGATCCTTCACATCCTGGTTCCACAGGCTTCTGTCATAACCCTGTTGTTTTAAAGATGGGGTAGTTACTGTCTCTGAATTTAAAAAATGACAATAACTAACATTTATTTAAAGCATACTATATGCCAGGTAAACAGAATGCTTTTTATGTGTACTATTTAAATCTGTATTATTATTATTATTATTCTCATTTTACAGAGGAGGAAACAGGCACAGAGAAATTAAGTGACTTGTTAAGGTCACACAGGTGCTGAATGGCTGAGCTAGAATTCCCACCCAGATCTGCCTGATGCCAAAGTTCATGCTCTTAACCCCTGTACTGCATGGTCTGCCGGCCTCATCCTAGGTTTTTCAGTATCATCAATGTTGCGCTACAATCTTGGCATTTGTAGTAACATTTCTTTCTTATTTCCTTCCCTTCCTTTTTTTCCTCTGTTTACAAGGGTTTCTTTTTTTGGCTAGTGGGCTTTGGGTAAGATTACATTTATTTTCTAAAAACTCATTTTTGGCTAATGGCAGTGGCGCATGCCCATAATCCCAGTGCTTTGGGAGGCTGAGATGGGATGATTGCTTGAGCCTGAGTTCGAGGCTACAGCGAGCCATGATCACGCCACCGTACTCTAGCCTTGGTGACTGAGGAAGACATTGTCTCTAAATAAATTAAAAAAAAAATCTTTTGTTTTTTGAGACAAAGTTTCGTCCTTGTTGCCCAGGCTGGACTGCAGTGGCACAGTCTTGGCTCACCATGATCTCGGCCTCCTGGGTTCAAGCAATTTTCCTGCCTCAGCCTCCCAAGTAGCTGGGATTATAGGTATGTACCACTACACCTGGCTAATTTTGTGTTTTTAGTAGAGACAGGGTTTCTCCATGTTGGTCAGGCTGATCTTGAACTCCTGACCTCAGGCGATCCGCCAGCCTTGGCCTTGCAAAGTGCTGGGATTACAGGCATGAGCCACCACTCCCAGTGCATTTATTTTTAATTTTGACAAATTGTAATTGTATACATTTGTGGGGTACAATGTGATGTTCTATGTATGTAGTCTGGAATGATTCAGCAGCTCACCTTCATTTAGTGACTTCCTCAGTTTGTCAAGCAAGTTTAAATGACTGGAGACTACTGACCTGAGGCTGGCCTGCTGTCTTCAACTCTGTACACTGGCATTGTCCATGAACACTGAGTCAGTCCTTCCCCACTGAGAACTTTTCCACATGGGAAAATGCATTAATTTAATTTGAGGAAGACACTAAGCAGCTTCACAAGTGTAGTTTTACGTTTTTGCTCTTTTGTTCTATAAATTGGCTTATTCCAGTAACAATTTAAAACATGCTAAGAAAAATGCCTTGAAATTAATAGCAGGGCCCCAGTATTGGCAAGTACTTACGGACCACGGATAACTCCATCCCACAATATATCCCAGCCTTTCTAGGGCAAAAGAGGAATAAATGACCCAACGTGAAGAAAAATTTTGGATTTTGTTAGTTCTCCACCATTTTTTTAAACATGCAGACAACTAAACTAAAAGCTAGGATTTGTTAATGTCAAGGAAATGCACTGAAAATACAATAAAGAAAAGGAAAGGCGGGTGCAGTGGCTCGCACCTGTAATCCCAGCACTCTGGGAGGTTGAGGTGGGCGGATCACCTGAGGTCAGGAGTTCAAGATCAGCCTGGCCAACATGGCAAAACCCCATCTCTACTGAAAATACAAAAAATCAGTTAGGCATGGTGGTGCACAACTGTAGTTCCAGCTACTTGAGAGACTAAGGCAGAAGAACTGCTTGAACCCAGGAGGTGGAGGTTGCAGTGAGCCGAGATCATGCCACTGGACTCAGTCTCAAAAAAAGAAAGAAAAAAGCAAGTTCACCTTTAGTTTCTTCATATATATATCAAAGATGAACACAAACATTAAAACGCAACTTCTTAATTGTGATTTAGACTATTTTTCAGGGTGATGGTCATGTACTCATTAAAAAATTTAGAACTTCAAGAATGTGCATTGAATAGAAGCTTTTCATTAACAGTGAAGAGTTTGCTGTCCTCTATCACAGCCTGATTAGCTGGATAATTTGTTTTTATTCTTAATATTACTACAGAAAAATATATTTATTATGACCATGGAATATTAGAAAACAATAAACCTTGAACCAACTTTGCTTATTTATTTAGAAACAGAGTCTCACTCTGTAACCCAGGCTGGAGTGCAGTGGTGCAGTCTTGGCTCACTGAAACCTCTGCATCCCGGGTTCAAATGATTTTCATGCCTTAACCTCTGGAGCAGCTGGGATTACAGGTGCATACCACCACACCTGGCTAATTTTTGTATTTTTAGTAGAGACAGCGTTTTGCCATGTTGGCCAGGCTGGTCTCAAACTCCTGGGCTCATGTGATCCACCTGCCTCCCAAAGTGCTGGGATTACAGGCATGAGCCACTGTACCCTCGCCACAAAATTTAATTAAAACTTTGTAGTGTTATTAAAATTATTTATATGCTTTCTAATGGTAAATATTTTCTTCAAAAGCAATAATATGAAATGATATGAAATGATATAAATATATGAAATACATAAATAATATGAAATGATATAAATAGCTCAGAAATTCTAAAAAGATGACTTCTAGAGAAAACTGTTCATTTTACCATGGCTTTTTTTATTTTTAAAAGTGTATTATTTATATGACTTTTGCAGACTTAGTAAAACTACCCTGTCATACATTGAGATCTTAAGGTACAAAATAACTTTTTACTCATTTTTGTACCCTCTATATCCAGCATAGTGACTAAAATGTATAACATAATGAAAAAGAATTTGCAGGCTTGAATTGGCAACATGATACCCAGCAGCCTCCTACTAAGTTCTAGGAAGGCAACTGATTTTTTTTTATCTTAAGTCCAAAGGCAAATACAAGAGAAAATATTTTGATGGAAGCAGATAAACCTGAATGCTATCAAAATTATCATTGTCTACACTTGCACATTAAATTCCACTGATGGGTTTCTTTTAAAGTATTTTACTTTGTTGAGTTTTTCTTACACAGCCTATGCATACCAGTCACTCTCTGTCCTTTTCTCCTTTATGTTCTTCATATAACCCTACCTGGTTATATTAATTGTGTATTTGTGTCCAGTCTACCACTGCACCCCCATCAACCACATGGAAAGTTTGTACATATTAGGCCCTTAGTAGTATTTGTGGAAGGAATGAAATCTGCATGAGAATCATTCCTGTAGAAGAACCCCTGATGGAATCAGTATTCATGAAACAAAGAATTTTTCTATCCTCTGAAACCAAGAGGGACATAGAATTTGGAAAAATAGTTTCATACATCAAAGAAACTTCTTAACGTCACCTTTTACTTTAATAGTTCCTCTGTCCAGTCAAATGCCTGTAAGCACCAGACATAGAACTGAGCCCAGACCTATACCCTTCTTTACCTGAGGGTTTGCAGCCATAACTGTGTAATTCCCATCATCATCTAAAGTGGACGCTGTGGTATGGAGGGAGCAGGTCCCATCAAGATCTCTTTGAATGGTGTAGTGATCACTCTTTGGAGAGATCTGCTTCCCATCTTTAAACCAATAGATCTGTGAAAGGAAACAAAGATGAAAGATAATCTGGAGGATTGCAAATAGTAACAGTGTGGTTTGTAGAGCTGATCTGAGTTTTCATGTTTTTAAATACAATACCTGAATCAGAAATTGATTTTTCAATGGAAAAAAAACAATTTAAATTCTAGGTGAGTTTTGAAATTATATACCCTCCTTTTGTTTTTAAAAAAATGGCACTTACATTCATATATTATTTATATGCACAGATATATATTGAATTTTGGCAATGATTATTTACATGAAGTGGCATTATAGGCATTTTTCTTTTTGCTTTTTTTCAAATGTACCAAAAATTAAAATGTACTATGTATAAAATAAAGGTAAAAAGGTTGTCTTGGAGAACAAAAGCAGACCTCAAACTCTGATCACTTCCTGAATTGTGTTTGACAAATAGAAGAGGTTGGTAGGGAGGGAGGTACCGACTAAGGATTGGTGGTGGGTGGAACACTACTGCCTCATTTCTAGGCCAGGAAGCATGTGATCAAAGGTTAAATGTTTGTCCCCTCTCCCCATTATGTTAAAGAAAACACAGTAGTATTAAAAAGTATAATAATTTTAAGATATACAACTGAGTTGATAAAAAATTAAATGTAGGCCAGGTACAGTGGCTCTTGCCTATAATCCCAGCATTTGGGAGGCTGAGGCAGAAGGACTGCTCAGGCCCAGGAATTCAGGACCAGCCTGGGCAACATTGTAAGACCCTGTCTCGACAAAAAAAAAAAAAAAAAAAAAAAAAAAAAAACACTATCTGGGTGTGGTGGTGCATGCCCTAGCTATTTGGGAGTCTGAGTCAGGAGGATTGCTTGAGCCCAGGAGGCTGAGGCTGCAGTGAGCCGTGATCATACCACTGCACTCCAGCCTAGGTGACTGAGTGAAACCCTGTCTCAAAAGAAAAAAAAATGTGAAAAATAAAAGTAAATTTTGATTAAATAAAATATTTTAAAGTGGTCCAGAGATCCTCCTTCCTTCCCTCAGTTTTAAACAAAACCAGTTGTCCCTGGATGTCTGAGTCCTATTTTTTTTTTTTTTTTTTGAGACAGAGCCTTGCTCTGTTGCCCAGGCTGGAGTGCAGTGATGTAATCTTGGCTCACTGAAAACTCCGCCTCACAGGTTCAAATGATTCTCGTGCCTCAGCCTCCAGAGTAGCGAAGATTACAGGTGTGAGCTACCATGCCCAGCCAAGCTCATTATTATTTTTGATTTAAGTTATGAAAACACAGTTGAAAGACAGGCCCATCATAATGAATCAGTGCCAACAGCCCTAACATGGCTGAGGTGCTGAATTAACAGCTACATCAGCCCACCTCCAGATTTATTACATAAGCAAATAAACCTTTCCTTTTTGAAGCCACAGCAAGTTATTTGTTGTCACTTTTTGTTCATTGCAGACAAAAGTATTCCTAACAAAAGCAATATACTTTAGACCCTTTTGTTGTTAAAACAAACTTCCTCCTTAAGGTAAATCAGTATGTAAATTGGTTACATAAACTGGCATTCAAATTCAACTGCCTGTCAAAATATTTGAATCTGAAAAATCTTTTTGAAACCTCCATCCTAAGAAAGGAAAAGACTAGAAATATATAGCACTAAATAAATGCATGAATTATCAGGATGATGACTGCTGTAACTTCAAACTCATATTTTTCAGATAGCTCCAACTTTACAGAAACTATTATTAAACTCTAGAATCTAAAAAGTAATAATCAACAGGACTAGTAACTTTCAGCTCTAAAAATTAAATTATGTAAAGTATTATACTTCATAATTATCATACTCTTTTTAGTGGTTGACTTTTTTTTTTTTAGATGGAGTCTAGCTCTGTCACCCAGGCTGGAGTGCAGTGGTATTATCTTGGCTCATTGCAACTTCTGTCTTCTGGGTTCAAGTGATTCTCCTGCTTCAGCCTCCTGAGTAGCTGGGATTACAGGTATGTACCACTATGCAAAGCTAATGTTTGCATTTTTAGTAGAGATGGGGTTTCACCATATTGCCCAGGCTGTTCTCAAACTCCTGACCTCAAGTGATCTGCCTGCCTCAGCCTCCCAAAGTGCTGAGATTACAGGCATGAGCCACCATGTCTGGCCATGGTTGACTATTCTGATAGAACAGAGAAGGTGTAATAAGTGTACAATTTCTTCCTTTTGCATTCTTGCCACAATGCCAATTCTTGAATTATTTATTTCCTTTAATTGTATTTTTGACTTCCATGATACTTGGCATACAACTTTCAAATGAGATCTAAGAAATATTTCTAAAATTTTACCAAGCCTACTAATGGAGGGAGAAATTTGGGAGGGCACAAGAATGAGAAGAGGGTAAATTAGAAATTATTTTCAATCTTCCTATGGCTCAACTAGAACAAGCATGCCAAAGGAGGAATAAAATATGTTAAGACATAAGCATAAACAACATGTATTTCTTTCAACATGAATATTCCATACTTTAACAATCCTAATGTAATTCATATGGCATATGCCAAAGTGGACCTTCAATAGATCAGAGAGGGAAGAAAAAGGATGGGGAGGATGAAGTCTGAGTGAGAGAAAGGAAGGATAAAGGAAGAACATTTAACAATAAAACATTTAAACGATTAAGTCTCTAATAGCTGTGAAACATTTAAATTTGTATTAGGAAAAAAGTACAGTTATGTTAAAAACAAAAGCCCATCTTTCAAGTTAAAGTAATATTCTATAAGAATCAATCGTCTTAGAACTTGATCAGTGATCTTAAGCCTTGTGTAAGGTTTGAAAATAATACAGAATCTTTCTGTGACTATTCTGGAAGTTCAAGATAAGATTCATTGTTGAATTTCATTCATAAGCTACAAATTTATTTTTAATACATGCATTTGATAACATGGTGTGAATACACAGCTATTATGCAAATTATGCCAAGAATATGGTAAAAACTTTTCTGTAACAATGGAGTTTACTTTTCCATTTTATTAGGAAGTAGATAGGGTTTGAAAATTCAAGGCTATTTTCTTTGATCTTTGACTTTGGGGTTGCAATTCAGTCTTAAGAAAGAATATGATAGTAAAACTTGCCATAATGGGAAAACAAAACAATGCATGGAACTATAGGAAATTAACACCTAAAAGTGTCAAGTGTCTTTTTTTTTTTTGTCACTTTCTGTTCTTTCATTTTATGCCACAACAAAGCTTTTTATTTCACTGAGTATATTGCTCTAAGCTTATATAATAAATTTGTATTTTTTGGTATTATCTTCTGCTTTCATTATAGTTTCCATTCTTTTAAAAATTGTTTCAATCACTTTAAAGTTATTTCAGAGGCTACTTAAGATTGTTCAATATTGTGCAATACTTGGCCTTCTGTTTCTCTGTTTTTTGCGCTATTGATTCTTAATATGGTTTGGTGTCTGTCCCCTCCAAATCTCATGCTGAAATGTGATTCCCAGTGTTGGAGGTGGAGCCTGGGGGGAGGGGATTGGATCATGGGTCTAGACCCCTCATTCACAGTTTAACACCGTCCCATTTATTTATCACCGTTGGTGATAAGTAAGTTCTCGCTCACTTAGTTCACAGGAGACCTGGCTGTTTAAAAGTGTGGGACCTTCCCTCAGCCACTTCCATCTCTTGTTCCTACTCTTGCTCTGTGAGTCACCTTCTCCCCCTTTGCCATAATCATAAGCTTCCTGAGGCCTCACCAGGAGCAGATCCTGGTACTATACTTCCTGTATACCATGCAGAACTGAGCCAATAAAACCTGTTTTTTTTTTTTAATAAATTACCCAGTCTCAGGAATCCCTTTGTATTAATGTAAAAACAGCCTAACAACTCTCCTTATGGTTATTTCTTCACATATTATTACCTTTATATAAGGCAACTTTTTGCTTGCTTCTAAATTTCAGGACAAATTTCACATTAATTTCTCAGCTTTTGGCTCCCTATCATGTGATAGTGTAGTTTAGGGGTTCTCATTTTTTCGCCTTTTTTATTCTTTTCATTCAAGTTCTAGGGAAAAGTGTACTCCTCTTTATTGCTTCGCTGGGCTAGTAAACAGTTATTCTGGTCCTTCCTGTAAAGTTAAGGCAGCTCCTTAGCCAGCATTTCCAAACGTTTGTATGGAGAGGGCTCCCATCCAGGTCAGCATAGTGCTGCATGCCATCACAAGTTTCTATTATCCATTCTAAACAATATTCTTCACCCCACCTCCCTCTTAATATAAGCAGCCTTGGTTTTGTAGATTAAAGACTGGAACAACCAGTGGTGAGTGTTACTTCTCTGTATGGTACAGAGCACTGGGTTCATATGCAGACCTGGCCACTCACCAGCTCTCTGACCTCGGAAAGTCAGCTCACCTCACAGAACTCAGTCTAGTTGTTTGCAATTGGGAGTAACGATGAGGAATAATCTATAGGTGTGTGAAGGGCTCTTTGTTGGTTTTCTGTACTGTAGTCTTCAAACTCAAACTTCGTTCCCTCAACCACCTTTTTTGGTTTCTAATGCCTCCTGAAGATGGCCCAGAAAAGGATTCAGAATGTTTAAAACCCCTTATATCGTGGGTAATGAGAAAGATTGTTTGTATCTCTTCCTCCTACTGGCATGCTATGTTTTGGATGCTAAACTTTTCCTCAGAGAATGACTCTTAACAAGCCATGTTCCCAGCTCACCTTTGGCTTTGGATTTCCAGCCACTCTACATGTGAAAGTTACCGGCATTCCCTCAAAGATCTTGTAATGCTTCAGCTTCATCTCAAAGAATGGTGCTGTTCCATTTTCCACTGGCACATCTCCATACTGAACTTCATCACCTGATTCATCCACAGGAGACCTTTCTAGCCTGTACTCTATTTCACTGATGAGTCTCTGTTCACAGCTGGAGACTTTGTATTCCTGTATCAAGGAGAGTTTAAGTTAGCAGATTCAAATCCTTCTGACAAAGTGTCGATTCTACCCCTGTCCCCAGTAAGGCACTAGAAGACTGATCTTTTTACCATAGAGCTTAAAAACACAGTCTGAGCCCAATTCAATTCCATATGAAACAAAAAACATCTGGAAGTGAGTTTATATGGTATTTCAGATTGTCTTTAAAGTCCTATCATCCAAAAAGAGGGGGGAAAAAAGATGAATTTTTTTTCCTTCTTTTCTCTCAGGCAAGGGGAAGGAAAGGGAAGGAAAGAAAAAGGCAAAAGTACAGCTATGTATTCCTAAACTGTTGCTAACAATAAAATATAATGGAATGCTGATTTCCTTCTTCTGTAAAAGCTGATGCAGGGTGGTGCATCTCTCCAGAAGGCTAACAGTACATGTGGCAAGCAGCTGCCATATTACATACAATTTTAGCAAAAGAATAATGGAAAAAATGGTACCATGTTTTTTTTTTTTATTTCACCTATAACAATTTTTGCCTTGCAGGGGCCTTCTCCTTAACTCTGCAGCTGTTAGGATCCCAGCATCTTTAGAAGAAAAAATAGGACTGACAGTCTAGTCAAAATTTTGCTTACGAAAAAAACCAACCTATTAACGTTCCTGTGGTGATTAAGGTGGATCCTACAATTTCCTTGCCTATACAGTGCAATAAAGACCCAGTACAGTGGCTTATGCCTGTAATTCCCAACACTTTGAGAGGCCAGGGTGGGAGGATTGCTTCAGGCCAGGAGTTTGAGACCGGCCTCGGCAACAAAGTAAGACCCCATCTCTACAAAAAATTTTAAAAAAATAGCTGGGCATGGGTACATGCCAGTTGTCCCAGCTATTTGGGAGGCTGAGGTGGGAGGCTCGTTTGATCATGGGAAGTTGAGGATGCAGTGGACTGTGACTGTGCCACTGCACTCAAGCCTGGGCAAAAGAGTGAGACCCCATCTCCAAAACAAAAAGAAAAAGTGCAAGGAAGACAAGGCAGCCTATGTAAAATATTCCCCATTTAATATTAAATGAAAGATAATTTTAACTATGCTTTCTCATAAAGAAACTACTCAGTGTTTAAAAACAGTTTGTTGGTTTGAGGGAAGAAATACAACATAATCAATAAAACTTCAGGAATTATACCTCAAGTTGTTTTGCTTCATCTAGCTGCCATCATATTAATCACTTGAAGAATTAGCACTTGCTAGATAGAAAGGTCTAACAAGTGAAAAGTTTTTCTTGATTTAATGTTTAGAGTATCCAGCAATTGGATCCAGCAATTTAATCCAGAATTAAATTCAAGCTGTACACCAGACACTGTGTTGTGGCTCATGCCTATAATCCCAGAACTGTGGGAGGCCAAGGTGGGTGGATCACCTGAGGTCAGAAGTTCGAGACCAGCCTGGTCAACATGGTGAAACCCCATCTCTATTAAAAATACAAAATTAGCCAGGCATGTTAGTATGCACCTGTAAATCCCAGCTACTTGGGAGGCTAAGGCAGGAGAATTGCTTGAACCTGGGAGGTGGAGGTTGCAGTGAGCTGAGATCATGCCATTGCACTTCCGCCTGGGCAACAAGAGCAAACTCCATCTCAAAAAAATAAATAAATTCAAGTTGGTAAATACATGACAAAAAACTCATGTTGCAGTAATTTTGTGCATCTGATATTAAATGAAATAGATACTGGCCATAGCATTTGTAATTAATATACGGCAGAAAAGACAGACACATGTAAAACAGAAAGAACAGAAGAAAATAGACACAGCGAAAGACTGAAAGGAGAAGAAAGGTGAAAAGCTTAACCTTTTGACCATCCAGAGGACTCCCTACAGAAGCATGAGGAGACCCAGTGTCCTGTAATGGTAGAAAAAGAGATGTGAAGACTAATAACAGAAATAGCAAGAATGCAGCAAGATTTCCGATTTTCCTTAAGTGAAAGCTTGGTGCTAGCAATACTGAGCAGAGCAAAACTTTCAGATTTTGAAAGATGACCCATATCTCAACAGACATGAGAGTTTACTTGACCCTTTACACTTGTTTTAAAACTTTCTTTTCTCTTGAGACTGTATCTTCAAACTCTGAATAGAAGCAATAGATATTATAAAGCAGCTCATGTCAAATCCACGAAGTGACTTTTTTTGGTGGTAGCAGGGAAACAAAAATGGCATTTTAGTTCCTTCTGCCGATTAGTGATTTATAGCTATAGATGGTCCCCAACTGTAGTTATCTTAAAACTATTTTTAACTTTATAATGGTGTGAAAGCAATATGCATTTGGTGGTAACTGTACTGTGAGTACTCACACAGCCATTCTGTTTTTCACTTTCAGTACAATATTCCAGAAGTCACATATTCTACACTTTATTTTTAATAGGCTTTGTGTTAGATGATTTTGCCCAACTGTATGCTAATGTAAGTGTTGTGAGCACATTTAATATAGGCTAGGCTAACCCATGATGTTTGGTAAGTTAGGTGTATTAAGTGCACTTTTTTTTTTTGAGATGGAGTCTTGCTCTGGCTGGAGTACAGCGGTCTGATCTCGGTTCACTGCAACCTCTGCCTCTTGAGTTCAAGTGATTCTCATGTCTCAGTCTCCTGAGTAGCTGGGACTTCAGGCACATGTCACCATGCCCAGCTAATTTTTGTATTTTTAGTAGAGACAGGGTTTCACCATGATGGTCAGGCTGGTCTCGAACTCCTGACCTCAGGTGTTCACTGATGGATACCTGTTTTGGCCTCCCAAAGTGCTGGGATTACAGGCGTGAGCCACTGCACCCGGCCTTAAATGTACCTTCGACTTACAATATTTTCAACTTAAAATGAATTTATCAGAACATAACCCCATACTAAGTTGAAGAGCATCTATATACACATGAAAACAGATAGAGAGATCATCTTTTCTACACATAGGTATTTTGACTAGCTATTAAGAATAAACAGTTGACCTTTGAACAACACAAGTTTGAGCTGCATGGGTCCACTTATATGTGGATTGTCTTCCTCTTCTGCAACCCCTGAGACAAGCAAGATGAATCCCTCCTCTTCTTCCTCCTCTTCAGACCAATCTAATTTAAGAAGAGGAGGATGAAGGCCTTTATGATGACCCACTTCCACTTAAGGAATTGTAAATGCATTTTCTATTTCTTAAGACATTCTTTGTAACATTTCCTTTTCCCTAGCTTACTTTATTATAAGAATACAGTCTATAATACATAGAACATATAGAATATGTGTTAATCAACTCTTTGTTATCAGTAAGGCTTCCAGTCAAGAGGCTATCAGTTAAGTTTCTGAAGAGTCAAAAGTTGTATGTGGGTTTGTAACTGTGCATGGGGTTGAACCCCTAACTCCTGCATTGTCCAAGGGCCGCCTCTAATGGGAAATATTCACTAGCTATTTCAAACAGTGTCAGTGAAAACGCGTTTCTCCACACAAAATTATTTTGCATAAAACACAGGACAGGAAAATGGAAACATAGTGGAAAGGAGAATAATTAAGAAGATAAAAAGGACAGGTATCACTGATGGAAAGAATTCTCTCAGCCACTTAACACAGCATGTGTTCAATAAAAATTAGCTGAGAGGTTGACTGATGATATTAATATTGCTTTTCTGTGACTTTCCCGCTACTCTCCACAGAATGAATCTCAAGAACAGTGTCCAGAAGGAAGATGGAAAAAGGGGAATAAGTGTTACTCTAAGAAGTCCAGGGCAGCATGGTACCTGATTAGCTGTCTCCTCTTCTGGCTCCTGAATACTGAAGACAGTTGCACTGTCAGCACCTAGCAGTCGACGAGCTATTCTTTCTTCATATGTTAACCTCTAAACAAAGTAAGCCACAAAAAATACAAAATTAGAAAAAAAATCACAAACATATATTGCCTTATGAAAAAGTAAAAAACAAAACACACTTGAGCGATTTTCCGTGACTGTTCTCTCTCCAGCTTCAGACACCTGCGTGTTTCTTTTTCTTGCTTCAGCTGTTCTACCTTTTACCTCCCTTTCCAGTAGCAATGGCATAATACAAAGAGCCACCAATTGGTACAGCATGAATTTAGAGCAAAAAGCGAAAGGCAGAAATCACGGAGAAAAGATTTGTCATGTCCTTAGCGAAAAACATAGAAAAAAAGATATTTAAACAGCAAAATACAATTTAAAAGAAATGTTATTTTTATAGCCATCCATCAGCTTCAGAACAAAGAAAAAAACAAAGATACTCAAAAGGAGAATGAACTGACTAAAAAGAAAAGAACAGGTATCACTAATGGAAATAATTCTATCAGTCATTTACCAGTATGTGCTCAGTAAGTGTCAGCTAAAGGAAGATTTGGATGAGCTGGCAATGGTGGTCCTCTCTGCTTTGGGGTTCTCACCTCTAAGAGCATTTTCCAGGCTGCTGTGTAACGTAGCAGATTGGAGGCAACCATCCTAATCCCCAGAGGATGCTCACAGCTGAAGCAGCAGGAGAATTATGCAAGACACTTGCCAAAGCTAACAGCCTCACTTACAACTTGACTCAGATGCAGACTGCTTGCCCATCAGGCAAAGAAAGCGATAGTGTTCTTCTGTCTCGTAGCCGGCATTTTGGAAGTGACTCAGACCATTTTAGCTATGCCATTCTTATACATAAGAAATGCCAACATTTTTGTCTGACTATTGGGGTGATACCTGCTCTTCAATACTCATTCTAAAGTGCCTTAGACTTAAGGGTCTGGAGGGAATTTTCAGACACCATCTGCCTCATCAAGGGCATTTTATAAGCAAGTGTTTGATTAGAAATAGAGAATAATTGGTAAGGTGGAATCTAAAAAATGTACAGAAGTTATTTCAGATAAACTTCCAAACCTAAGTGCAAATTTGATTGGAAGCTCTCTGGTCAGGAAAATATGTTGGGTAAATTTACAGTTTCCAGTAATTGCTGGTCTCAATCCTAGCTGAAACCAGGAAGTGAAACAAGTCAAGTGCCAAATGACAACGAGTCCTGCGGTTCAATTATTTCACTTAATAACGAAAGGGCAGAGGACAAGAAGAGGCAGCGGTAGGAGTCTGAGTGTTGCATGAAGCATCTGAGTCCACTGTTATTATTAAATTAATTTTCTCACACCTACTAAAAATCAGTGAATTCAGTTTTTGAAGAGTCTTAAATACCTGATCTCTTAAAAAGCTTTCCTAATCTTTTCATGGAGAATTGTAACACATCAAAGGCAAGGCTGGAGTGTTTTCCACTCTGTTTCTTATAAGCAGAAATATCAATTTCATATCTATTCCTTCACCGGAATGTACCTGCAACCACTAGACGCCAAATATACTTCACAGTTTTGTTTCTAAGTCACTATGCCACGTGGCTATAAAAGCCCTTGTCTACAGATGCCAAAAATAAGAGAATAATATATAATATTAGGACAAAGTTTAGAATGCCATTTTCTACAAAGGGAAACCTTTGTAGAAAACCATTTTAAGCTCTCAAATATGGATACCCATGGAACTTACTGTTATTCACCACTAAACAGATGAATATAAATATACATACAATATACATAATGTGGGTTGGCCAATAGCTTATGAAAGTTTTACCTTAACCAAGAGAATCTTAGTCCATAAGGAATATTGACATGAATAGCCAAAAAGAAAAAAAGCTGGAGGGATGCCTTACCTGGCTTGAAAAGTTCCCATATGTATTTATTTTTATCTTTTAAAGGCTTTAGTTGACAGAGCCAGGGAAAACTTCCAGAGTATGTACATTTAACACATGTAATCACTTATTTCAGGGAGAAAGTATTTTCCTTTTGTGAAAATCTTCTGTATTCAGTGAAATGAGTAACTAACAAAAACTTCATTCAAATTTTAATTTTTCTTAATCGGATTATGATACCCTACTAAAGTCAGCATTCAGCACCCCTCCTCTGCTCTCCACCTTTCTAATCAAGTGTGGTCTGTTCTCAGTTTTATTTATCAATGTTTGGTAATTAAAATTCTCAGAAAACATAATTAGAGAGAGCTTTCTACTCTGAAAAAGGTGTCTGAAAAGGAGATTTTATACAAAAGATCCTTTTCTTGTCCTTAAGAGCCAGGCAAATTTTTCCAGTGATAATTCCTTTAAAAAGGTACAGAAGGCTCTTTTCCTTTACCTGCTAAGTCTTATTTTCTATATTTTTAATGGGGATGCTTTTCCCATCCCCTTAAAATATTCAGGAAAGAATATTTTAAAAAGAAAAGCATCAACAAAAGAGATTAAAAAACTGATGAGGAAACACTTAAGTCCAGTGGAGAAAACATCTTATATGTATATTTTACCAAACCTATTTAGGTCCTTTACAGTTCTGGAGCCATAAAACAATTATTTTTTCCTACAGTTTAGTTGTCTTGCTCTAACCAACCAGAACAAGATTTTGGAACGGCCCTTGCTCTTTCAGATACTGAATCAGTATCTAGTAGCAGTCTGGGAGAAAAGGACAGAACTTCCCCAATGATTTCTCTAGATTTTTTTTTGTGTGTGTACAAGCAGTACATACCATGGAAAACAAATTCTCTTTTTGATACTTTAATTGCAATTCGCTGTTTCTGGGTAGATAACGATTCCAAAGCATAGCTTCTCCCTCCCTCCCCAATCCTATCAGCCAGAATGAAATCCCTGTGTTCCTTTTTTTTTTTTATACCATTGGCATTGCTCATTTGTTCCACTCCCAACCAGATATCTGCCCTTCCTTCTTCCTTTCTTTCCCACTCACTCTCTTCACTCTTAGAAAGGTTTTATGCCTAGGAGAAAAGGCCTTTTATTTTCTGTTTTGCCTCTGGATTCAAATCCTTACATTAAGAGAAATGTTGAAATTGAAGGGTAATAAAATAATGTGGCCGGGTGCAGAGGCTCATGCCTATGGCACTTTCGGAGGCCAAGGAGGGCGGATTGCCTGAGTTCTGGAGTTTGGAAACCAGCCTAGGCAACATAGGGAGACTGTCTCTAAAAAATAAAAAACTAGCCAGGCATGGTGACATGTGCCTGTGGTCCCAGTTACCCAGGAGGTTGAGGTCTGAGGACTGTTTGTGCCTGGGAGGTCAAGGATGCAGTGAGCTGTGACCACACCACGGCACTCCAGCATGGGTGACAAAGTGAGACCCTGTCTCAAAAATAATCATCTTGTGGACAATTATGAAGCACCTAAGTCTTAGAAAAAGGAGGAAAGGCATGTGGGTAGCTAATTCTCCAAGGCCAGGTCCCAAATCTGTCAGTACCGGCTGGCCGTTGTTCAGGAGGTCTTCCTTGAAGCGAAGTTTTCGTTCCAGGTCTTGAATAACAGCATCCTTTGTGCCTTGAATCTCCTCATCAGAGGCTATTCTAGCAGTCCGACTGGCCTTCTTCGGAAACCCGCTGCAGGACAAAAGCACAAGGCAGTCTAGTTAGTCGTCAGACATACAAATCCAAGTCAAACATTCAAGTCCAATGAACAGTGCAAGGTGTCAGCATGCCACTCCCTCTTTTTTATGCTGCATTTATTCCAACTATTACGGAAAGAACCATGAAAGCTGGCTCAGGTAACACTAATTGGATCCAGGTTTCAGAGGAAGTTCACATATGTTAGGGGAATCTGCCTTAATGGTGAGGTAAATGCCAAGGATGGGGAAGGCCTGCATCTTATTTCAGCCTTAGGGAGGCAGCAACGTAAAGCGAGAGAATGATGTGATTTGTAAGTAGACCTGAGTTTAAAATATGACCCTGCCTCATATTACCTGTGAACTTGAGGAACTTTTAAAAAAAATACCACATAAGAATGTTGGGAGGTTGAAAGAAACATATTTTTATCATACTTTTATTCAGTCTTCTGGTCCTTTGTCATTCATTCTTTGATAATAGTGCCTAGCCCATAAGAAATGAATATTAAGTCTGTTACCTTTGCTTCCATCCCCTTATATCCTGATTTGGTAAGGGTAGGCCAATGTTATTTGAGGTCTGTTTTATACAAGAGGGCTCTGGGAAGTCAGCAGGTCCTACTGTGTCTGGTGTCCCAAAGTCTCATGAACCACTGGAGAGCCCAGGGCTCTTTGGACAGGTGGTGTCTGAGAACTTTTGCTTCCAAAGGCAGCAACAATGACCTGAGCTGTGTGAGCCAGGGGTCACTGGTGCTGGATGCCTGACGGGTACAGAATCACTTCTGTTGGTGCCTTAAGCAAGTTGCTTCCTATTTTTCTTCCTTTTCCCTCATAGGGCAGTGTACAAAAATTAATGAGAAATAGAATAGTAAGCCATGGGAAATGAATTGACCTATCACTACCCATATTAACAAACTTGAACTTCTAAAACAAAGTTCGGGTGAAAAAAAGCAAGTCACAGAAGAATATATATAAAATACTTCTATTTATAAACAGGCAGAAGTAAAACAGTCCTCTGCTACAGCAGCGGTTCTCCAAGTGTAGTCCCTGGACCAGCAGCATTGGCATGACCTGAAGTTGTTAGGAGTGCAGATTTTTGGCATCGCTCTAGACCTACTGAATCACACATTCTGAGTTGGGGCCCAGCAATCTGTGTTTTAACAAGTTCTCTAAGTGATACATGCAAAAGTTTTAGAAAGAAAACGAGGGGAGCATACATACATGTTAAAACCATGAAGAGAAGAATGACTAACTCAGAAATTCAGGGTAGCAGTTACCTCTCAGGAAGAGTTGTGGATGCAATTGGGGAGGGTTAGATGGGGGCTTCAAAGGTACTAGAAATGGATAAGAATTTCATTTTATTAAGCTATACATATACACTGTATATAGTTCCTTATTTATGTTATATATTTTGTAAGATATTTCTAAGTTTAAAAAGTTTGCTGCAGGCCAGGCATGGTGCCTCACACCTGTATTCCCAGCACTTTGGGAGACGAAGGTGGGTAAATCCCCCGAGGTCAGGAGTTTGAGACCAGCCTGGCTAACATGAT